TATTGCCATTTGGATCAAACAAAGAGAGATTACTTCCCATCTGACAAAATGATGTATAGAAGGCATAAGATCAAAAGGTTTGCCATTAACACACAAAACCTGGTCATGGAATGATTAGAATTAGATATGATAGGATTTGGGGGGTCGACTGACAAATCAACAACGATGTTGGAAAGGTATTATTGCTTGGAGAATATAGAGAAGGATCATATAGATGTTTTTCTGGATACAGAAATCTAAAGAGTACCATATAACCATCATTCTTTTCGTTAAATATATATATGGATCCCACCATTAGCTCATGACTACCCTTCCCCCATCAAAACCGAAGGACAATAAAAAACATATCTATAGATACAATTGTCAAGTCAAAGTCCTGCTACCTCACTTTGTGATTTGATTCCTTTATTCTGGTCCAAGTTCTTTTTGACAATTTGGAGAGATCATGACAATTCAAAGAAACACCATCAATAATGTTTACGTATGTGTATATATATATATATATATATATATGCTATATTTATATATATGCATTTGAATCATATTGATCAAAATGAGCTATTAGTTCTTTAATTGGAAGAAGGAGAGATAGTAGAACAATTTATGCTTTAATGTAACCCAAAAAAAAAAAAACAATAAATGTATTGAATCAGTTTTTACTTCAGGAAAGAAGTTGTACATGTATATATATAACATATACACCAATCTAAAAAGTTGATGAAAAAAAAAATGGATCCATGTATGTAGATCTTAGTTAAAAACATGCATTCGATTGGATTAATACATCTAACTAATAAGAGAAAAATTGAAAATTAAAAAGAGAAAGGAAATACAAAATAATCCACAATATCAATAGTCATATGGTTCGTTAATAAAATATTGATACTTAACCTCAATAATCAAAATTTAATCTTGACAATTTTAAATATAAAAAAAATCATGATGGTGTATATGAAGGGAATCATAATAACGAAGAGATACATACATGAAATTAATTAGTTTAGAAGATCTTAATCGTGGTGCACCTGTCTAATTGATACTACTAATCCAAGACTGATTAAATCTTTAAATAGTAACAAAATCCAACGTAGGGTATGGGAATGACAGATTTAAAGGCTAGTAAATGAGGAATCTCATGATGGTAAATCTATGTTTTAGCGTTGAGAAACATAATTATTCGCTCCTCTCCCAGTCAAGGACATGCTTTCCGGAAACCAAGCTGGGTCGCCCGCGGCCAATCCCCTTAAAGTAAAAATATGGATAAACTAAAGGGTCATGTCTAGGCTTAGCCATGCAAGAATCGATACTGTTTAATGGTGTGGAAAATATGATTGGCAATTGCAACTAATTACAAGCAGCTAGACTTTTGAATTTTGATACATTTACAACGAATTGCCAGTTAACAATGAAGTACTTTTTCACCAACATGTTTCTATATAGTAACATTATGTTTGATTTTATTATTATATATTTCGATCATGATTCAAATTTTAACAATTTTAAATACAAAAATAAATTTTTACCTGGCCCCATTCAATTTTCTTCCATTTACGGGCATTTTTTGGCATAGATGTGAATATACCAAGGAGTTAAACCTCTTTCAGATAGGCATGTGATGTTCTATGATAACCCAAGCTGACTAATTGAATAAAAATAAAATAATAGATTTATGATTTTATTTGCCTCATGAGTCAATAAAAAATCGATAAATACTATGCCAAATATTTGACATGTGCTGTTTCTTGAAGCCAACTGTCAAGAATAAGTTGAATTTTCAATGCCTGTGTCAATTTGATGTTACTATATGTTATTATTATTATTTTTTAACATAGATGTTACTATATGTTTAGAGTGAAGGCATTTTCATCCAAATTTATACACCTAAATTCCCCTATTACATATTATCAAAAAAAAAAAAAAAATCCTTATTACATGGTAATAATCACCTTCCCATATGAACTCCAATAGATGATTCCCACACGTGGCAATTTAATCGGAAGACCCTAGCTTGGAAAGTGACAGTCATATGAAAATGAAATGAATTACTAATATTTTTCACATGTGTTAATTGTTTATATTTGAAAAAGAAAAAAAGAGGTCGTATAATTTGGAGATAAAAAAATTGTAAGTATTGAGATTTAAATTTTAATTTTGTTGGATATCATTTTTTTAAAATAATTACACGAATTAACTTAATTAAACTCAAAATTCATCTTATTTGCTTTTTAAAACACACCTTTACAAACTAATAATACTATGTAAGATTTTAGGTTTGAATCAACAAGATATATGATCTCACTCCTTTTTGCTTCCCCCTTACCTAATCACTTTCCAACAAACATGAAATTTTATTTTATAACCCCCTAATTATTTCATTATTTTTTCTTAACAAATTTAGCCAAAATAATATTTTGGAGCAAAAGATTGAGAATCCTAAATTTGTTAACCTATCATTGGTGAGTAATAAGAATTGAAAAAAAGATATGACAATCAGAAGAAGAAGATAACAAATATGGGCCTTAACTTTGAACTCGAATTAAGCCTAACCATAGCCGACAACCTTAATAAATTTGGGCTTAAGCCCACAATAGTTTCCAATTGTGTCTCAGCCCGTGAACCATTAAACTGTACAAACCTGGAAAATTAAGAAGCAGGTAGCGAGAATGGAACCTGAAAAAGGACCTGAACCCAAGAGGAGGAAAATCCTTAAGCCACCGCCTCGCCGGTATGATCTTTATACAGCTCTCTGGTTCTGATTTTTTCTTTTTTGTCTTTTTCGTTTAAGGAAAAATATGCTTCAATTGGATCGATTGATGCTTGGCTTGATTATGGGGTTAGGAAGCATGAGGTTCTGCAATGATTCTTTGAAATTTTAAGTCGTCTGCTTGCAAATTGAACTTAGGGTTTTAATGAAGGTTGGGATTGGAGTTTGAATTAAGTTGTCAACGATTGTTTGGGAATTGAAGCTTAAGCAATGCATAAGATAAGATGATGATAATAAATGGAAACCTTAATCAAAATATGGGTTGTCAAAGGGAATGAAATATTTAGAGATTGAAGCACTCATTTGATGTTATATGGGAAGCTTAGAATGTGGATTATATGTCTTAGTGATAGAAATCCCATTATTCTTCTGTTAAGCTTGTTCATATGCTATAATTCAGAGAGACCAACCTGTTTGACACCTTATTTGGATGTTCTTTTTGCAGGACTGTCTCTTCACCCGCTTCAAAGACTCCCAAAGATGCAGATTTGACTAGTAGTTTGATGGTAAAGCCTTTTTTTCTTGCTTCTATTCTAATGGAGTTTCATTTCCTACATTTTAAACCTTGGTAAAGTTGTAAGTGACTGGATGTGCAGGTTCCAGCTGCACAAACAAGTTTCAGAATCCAACAAGCCAAAAACTTTGCAGTAGTTCAAGCACAACAAGATGGCTGCACAGGAAATTTTAAGAAATTTGATTCACAATACGGGAATTTTCTGGTGCCAGTTGTTCCGTCACGGGCAGACTTAACGGGATAAGTACCACTTGCATCTTTTCCATTTTGATCTACTTTTATCTCCAAACAATACCTATATAGAAGTAGATTGTATTCTTCTATCTTGCCTTTGCCATATGGATAAGATTCTTTTCTGGCTGTCGTTTCTCTTTTTGTTTCCCAATAAGAGCCCCAATGGTATCATGGACTGAGGTAGGGCAAACCTAATCAGAGAATTGTGTGCCAATTACACTTGCGAGTTTACCTTCTTGATATCTATACATGTTTTACGTCTCCATTTTGATTGTATATGGACTATTTATCACACATCATTTTGTTATAAAACCAACCTCGGCCATACTTGTCTTAGTTGCCTGGTTTAGGAGTAAGCCAAAACCAGCTTCTGTGTTTAGGTGGGTTTTGATGGTCTTCCATTTTATTAGGCTAGATGGTTTGAAATACCCAGGGTCTATTTCAAACTCATGCTCATCAACTCCATTTACCTATTAAAATACTTTAAAAAAATTTTTGTCCAAATATGTCTTTCGGGTGAATGGTTTTTTAATAAATTAATTAAGGAATTGTTTGAACTTGTGACTAAGAGGAATGGCTGTCAGTTTTGATATGAGATCATTGTATTTTCAGAAAATTTGGGAATGTGTAGCATCTATCATCTTATATATTTATATATATATATATTTATATATGTTCATAAAATGTAATAATCAATTCAAGATAAAAAAGATGAGGTTTTTGTTTCCATCCCATTGGAAAAGATGAGTAACACCTTGAGAAACTGAGCCAAGTTTACGCCAATGGCAGTCACCGTCATTTTTTAAATGTGGATAACAGGGCCAACAGCGACAGGGCATAATGCTTATCACACATCTTATCTGAGCACCAACAAGTAAAGAAGAAAAGGGTAGCCCATAAAAAACAAAAATCCTAGTATGAGAATGCAAACAAAAGGTTTCCATGTTCCACTTTAATCATGTTTGTCTTGTAATAACAAAAAGCCTTTTGAGCATTCATCTATTTTTTATCTAGATTCCTTCTTTAGTGGGACTGAAATCCCACCGTTGGAGGAACGACAAGTATCCACTGCACCTGGAACTGATCCGCAACTGAAACTAAAACTAGCTGTACATTTAGGTTAAACGTAAGTCATATGGTAACGTTTTGCTTATATATATATATAACTGGATGGCTTCCAAAAATTCGTACAATCTAAAAGAAATTGTTTGAAATGAGAAACCATTCAATTTGCGCAAAAATTAGTTGTAATTTCAACTCTTATTGAGTTCCAGCAAGCTGCTATTAATCGTGTATGATGTTGATGGCTTTATGATCCTTGCAGTGATCTATATAAACATGTGTCAACAACTTCATTTAAAGGCAATCGCCTTCACATTAAGTTATAATAGAATAAACTTTAAAATCAACTTTAGATCCCACATGTTAAAAAAAAAAACAATAAAAGTTTCCAACGTAATTTGCATATGTATGATTGTGATTCCTATAAATCGAGTTCATTATTATCGTTAAACAAACAAAAATATAGAATAGTCTTGCAGGGTAATGGATATTTGTCAAAGAAAGCAAGAGTTGATCATATCTCATTATCCAAAACATGTGCCTTACTGTCAAATTTGGAGACTAAATTGACCACCAACTTGCTAACAAGTTGTTTAAAACCAATGTGCTGAGAGATGGTGAGTCAGATTTGTCTCTAGCCTAACTGTGGTCAAACCTGGTTTCAAATTCCTGGGTAACTAAATATATGTTCAACGCATTTTTTTTTTTTATATATATATTTCTCAGAGACATTCGTTCAAAATTTTCTCTCCTTTCATTTTGGTGTGATTTTTTGTCAAATATTGATGGCTTAAAAACTCGAACAGCAGCAGTTGGTTTTTTACCAAAACGTCTGTTCTTTTCTCGTTACGTGAAAATTGGCATCTAATCACATGGTTGCCTATTGGTTTGACTTGTTCTTCAATTTAAGCATGTCTGGCATTGGCCTGCTTTTCAAAATTTCAAGCTGTTTAATTTTTTTGTACAATTTTTTGGATCCAAAAGTCATTGACCTTTCCATTTGCCTAAACAAAATAATTAATACCCAGGAGTAAAGTCAACTTTATTAATAAAACAAAATAAATTCAGTTGAAATTATATCAAAGGATAATAATTTTGCTAATTATTGTATGCAATGCCAGTAAATCTGTAAAACTTTAAAACCCAAAAATGAGCCTGAAAATCTCAGAAAAAAAAAAAAAGAAAAGGAAATAGAGCAGCCTATTCCATAAAAGGAAAGAGAAAACATTCCTAAATGCAAAAGTCTGCAGCCATTACCAAACACCTCTGCTTTCCTGAACTCTCTCAAAGCTCAGAATTGAACTGATAGGTCTTTATCGTAATTCCAACCCATTCTTATGTCCACTTTCCAACGTTAGCCCCTTTTCTCCTGTAAAATCCTACCCTCACTGCTACGCTTTTTTTTTTTCTTATTCTTCACCCCAGCTCCAGACAAAAGTTATTTTTAGCAAATAAGAAAAGTTTATAAGTATAAATAAATACCTTTCTCTTTTTATTTTTTGATATTTTCTCTTTGCTTTTTCAAGCACAAGAAAGCTACCCAAGAAAACATAAACTTTTTTTTTTTTAATTTTCCGATATAAAAACAAGTAATTATTAATCTTCGAGAATCTCGCTCCAAAGATAATCGATCTAGGGCTTCTCTCCGTCTCTTTCTTTCAAAATACTGACACTTGAACCGTTTTTATTTTCTTTAAATTAAAACTCTGTTTTTTGTGTCCGTACAAGGTTATACAAAAGTTTTTTTTTTTTAATTTTTGTTCGATTGGTATTGCGGATTTTAGTTGTGGTGGTGATGGGGAAGGTGGCGATGGGGGCGACGGTGGTGTGCGCGGCAGCTGTGTGTGCTGCGGCGGCGCTGGTTGTGCGTCATAGGATGAAGAGTTCGGGGAAGTGGGCCCGGGCGCTGGCTATCCTGAAAGAGTTCGAGGAAAAGTGTGGGACCCCAAGTTCGAAGCTGAAACAGGTGGTGGATGCTATGACCGTTGAGATGCACGCTGGGCTGGCCTCGGAAGGTGGCAGCAAGCTCAAGATGATTATCAGCTATGTAGATAATCTCCCCACCGGGTAAATTTACAAATCAACTCTCAAATAATCTAAATTTTTTTCCCTTCTAAATTTAATTTTCAATACTTTTGGAACTCCCTGTTTCGTTTAAATGATTCAATAATAGAAAATTTGGATCGGATAAAGATGGTCTCTTGATTGATTAACGCCTATTATAAGCTCTCTCTCCTCTCTCTCTCTCTCTCTATATATATATATATATTTAAATTCTTATAGAAAAGTTCAATTCATGATTGAAATTTAACTCAATTAATTTGATGAAGAAGCTTTAGATGTTAGTGGCTTTAGTGGGTTTAGGGTTTACTTACACTGTTGTCCATTCAAATTTGCTGTTAATGAGAATTATTTGATGGCTCGAATCGAACTTTCTAACGCAAAAGATAAAATTTTTGTTAGTTTCGAATTTTACTTTGCCTAATTGATGTGTTGGATTCCACTTATGCTGTTTTTTTTTTTTTTTTAATGTTATATTTACTCTATCTTCATTATCTACTCTTCATTCTTGTGAACTTTATGCTAGTTCTTGTTCCTGCATTAAAGTTGATTTATAGGTTAGCTTTGCCGAGAAACTATGCGTTCATTGATTCTTATTTACCTTTCTTTTTCACCATCAATATCCACCTTTTCCTCATTTCATGGGATAAATAACTGATCTTTTAAATTTGATATATAGCTTACCTTCTAAAGCTTTGCTGCCTTTTGCTTTTGTATTGTATTTTTGGTCCTTGATTTTTGATGCTTTCTTTAATGCTTTTGTTAAAGCTTTTATAATGAAAATTTTCTTGCCAATGTTTCCTTCTATGTTGACTTTGTGTTATGATGATTTGCTTTTGTTAATGTTTAATGGTTTTCTGAGAGAATATTAAAGTAGAGTGGAACGTCATTTCACATTTTGAAATAAGGAACCCAAATTTCTCTTTTGTATTGATTGACTCAAGCTTATAGTATTTCTATTATCTAGGTGGGATGTTTCTGTCATGTACTATTGCCTTTTTCTGATCAGTGAGAGTGAGTTGTTTGTTTTAGATTTTAAGCACTAATTTTGTATGCTGTGGATAATTTCTTGATTGCCAATTTTAGTTTGAGGAATATTTGGTTCATTATTGTTTTAACTTTTAATTAAGTTTTGGCATAGACTTAATTTCTCGTAAGACATACCAGCTTCCTTAATAAGTTTTTTTTTTCCCTTAAATTTTCTTTTATATGGGTGATGTGAGATGATATGCTAGGGAAAAATGTTTTCTTTATTTGCTGCTGAACTATGCATAGATAGTGGGTCATAATTGGGAAAGAATTTACTCTTTTTCTTTTTTTTGGGGGGGGGGGGGGGGTGAAGGGTTTACATGTGGACCTGTAGTTGAGCCTTAGCCGGCACAGTGGGAGGTAGCCTCCTATTATGAAAGAAATTGCTTTGAGAGGATGATTGGTAAATTTGACTTCACTAATAAACTTTTTTTTTTTTTTTTTTATATTGAATAACATAATAAACTATCTTATAAATATTCAAGAGAAAAGAAGTGGTAATTCTTATCAATAGATTCCTTAAAACATAATTCCCAACAAGGGAAAAGAAGTTGCTCAGCTGTCGTAAAATTTTGCATGGTGCTAAAGATTCTAGTTTTCTAGATTTTTACCTTGCTTGAAAGCTTAGCTAAGCATATGTCATGCTTTCTTGTTTAACTTTGCAGTGATGAGAAAGGACTGTTTTATGCCCTCGACCTTGGTGGCACAAATTTCCGTGTCCTACGTGTACTCTTGGGTGGTAAAGAAAGCCATGTTGTTAAGCAGGAATTTGAGGAAGTTTCAATTCCTCCACATTTGATGACTGGATTTTCAGATGTGAGACCTTTCTCCATCCAACCTAGCAATATTTAATCCTGCTTATATTTGTCCTTTTTCTGAAATTTTTTATATGATGTGATTGCAGGCATTATTTGATTATATTGCTTCAGCTCTTGCAAAATTTGTTGCTACAGAAAGTGACAGTTTACATGTTTCACCTGGTAGACAAAGGGAGCTGGGGTTCACTTTCTCATTTCCTGTTAGGCAAACATCAATATCATCAGGGACTCTTATAAAATGGACAAAGGGCTTCTCGATAGATGATACAGTTAATTCTAATGACCTTGACTCCAATTCTGCAGCCTTCTGTAGTAATTTGTTATTGGCATTTTTTTAAATTAGGACTTCATCCCTGCCATTACTATCCCAATTTTTTCTTTCCAAAGTCTAATGCATGCTGACCTTGGTTTTCTCCCAACTCGAGAATCTTAAAATTTTGTGCTTATGGGCTACGTTCATACCCTGGAACTAAGATGTTGGTGGGGTGATACATTCAGATCAATCCTTTAAAATCTGGCCTGGCATGTGTATCTCTGAATAATTCCTTAATGTGTACCAACAATTGAATTTATAGACATTTTTTATGAATAACCTGAGAGGACAAGTTCTTCCTTTAGATGGTCCAGAAAGCATAAACGTGACATTCAGAATTTTATATTACAATGACACTTTTTTTTTTTTTTTACATTATAAGTTTATAACTCTTGGAGTGTTTATAGTATGATCCTTAATGTTACTCTTGGCTTGTATGTGTAGGTTGGACAGGACGTTGTTGGAGAATTGACAAAAGCTATGGAAAGGATTGGCCTTGACATGCGTGTGGCAGCTTTGGTGAGTCTGATTTTGTTCTTCTGTTGGGTGTGGTGCATTGCTTTTCTTATTTCTTGTAGATGGATGTGATCTGGTGCTTCTACTTGGGTACATGTTTGAGTGAATATTCCAAATTCTTTTACGGAATATGCAGGTCAATGATACAATTGGCACTTTGGCTGGTGGTAGATACAACAACCCTGATGTTGTTGCTGCTGTGATATTGGGTACAGGCACAAATGCAGCTTATGTAGAGCGTGCCCATGCAGTTCCCAAATGGCATGGTCTTCTACCTAAATCAGGGGACATGGTAAGTAGTGTTAGTATGTATGTTCTCTGCTTCTGTTAACGTCTGATTGAATATATGATCAGCCTTGTTATGCTAAACTTCTTCCCTGTTATTTGAGAGATATGCTTTTGATTGTAGAATGCAATCCTCAATTAGCTATTATTATTTCTATAAAGAGTTCTAAAACTTTTTCCTTGTTTCCGCAGGTTATCAACATGGAGTGGGGTAACTTTCGGTCTTCACACCTTCCACTAACAGAATATGATCAAACTCTGGATGCTGAGAGTTTAAACCCTGGAGAACAGGTCAGTTTCTTCCGTCCAAGTTATTTAACTACTTATTCCTTTTTGTATAAGCTAGATGTAACTTTTTTAACTACTTGTTTCCAGATTTTTGAAAAAATGATTTCTGGTATGTATTTGGGAGAGATTGTACGTAGAGTTTTGTGCAAGATGGCTGAGGAAGCTGCAATTTTTGGTGATACTGTTCCACCAAAATTGAAAATTCCTTTCATACTAAGGTATGCCATAATATTATATAATGTTCCCCAGTTAAAAGTAACTCATTATGTTGTTGAATTACGGTACTTGTTGAAGTGTGTTCAGTTCTTCATCCATAAGATAGTTGCTTTGCAATATATAAAATATAGAAGGCTTTGATTTTGGCCTGATGAGAGCTCGGAGAGCTGTTAACATTTATCTGTTAAATCTGCAGAACTCCTCACATGTCTGCAATCCATCACGACATGTCTCCAGATCTGAAAGTGGTTGGGACCAAACTAAAGGATGTATTAGAGGTAGAATATGTTAGATGTTTGTTGTATAAATGTATAATTTTCTGTAAAGCCTTTTGGTTTCTTACCTTTTCTCTTCTGAATGCTTCTGTTTGACATTTTAGAATAAAGAACAAAGAAAAGAAACTAAGAGTGAAAAGGAATTTAACTTGAACCACAGAACCCCTTTTCAACAGATATTATTGAGTTTGGAAACACTTCTCATCTTGAAGGAAATAAGTTTTGCATGAGATTAAATGAGATTTGATCATGTGAATTCACTGCTTTTATAGGCTTTCTTATGTTTATGTTGTCAATTCTTTGTTTTATTTCAGATATCAAATACCTCCCTGAAAATAAGAAAAGTTATTGTTGAGCTGTGCGACATTGTTGCTACTCGTGGTGCCCGCCTATCTGCTGCTGGAATCGTGGGTATCCTCAAGAAATTAGGAAGAGATACAGTTAAAGATGGTGAAAAACAGAAGTCAGTGGTAGCTCTAGATGGTGGATTATATGAGCACTACGCTAAATTCAGGACCTGCATGGAGAACACCCTCAGGGAGTTGCTGGGAGAAGAAGTCTCCGAGAACATTGTAGTTGAGCAATCCAATGATGGCTCTGGCATTGGGGCAGCCCTCCTTGCAGCCTCTCACTCCCAATACATTGAGGTTGAGGAGCCCTGAAGTGTAGGTAGATTACAAAAAATTCTCAACTATTGAGATTTTGGTATATTTACAGCATTTGCGTTCTTATTGCAACTCAACCAGAACTAAGAGTTCGTGCAAGCAAAATGCTTAAGTTATGGTCATCCGGAGTTTATAATTGAGTAATGGATAAAATGTAATGAGTGCCTGATAGTTGCCCGAAGCTTCATTGCTGCAACTGTCACTCGGCTCCATTCGCTATATGTAATTTCTGATCTCCTGAAATTAATAAAATAAGGGCATGTAAACTCCTCTTTCGAGTTTTTGATATTTTGTAGGGTACGAGGAAGATAGAATATTATTCATCTCTATTTTCAAATTTTTATATTATATTTATTTTTGTATTCATATTTAATAGATTTTTTAAATTTACTTTTGTTTTTATTATTGCGGGTATTTAATAGGTATAAGTAATTTTTATACTTTTTTAATTTTTTAAAAATAAAAGTTAAATTATTATAACCTTTTTTTTTTTATATATTTAAGTAATATTTTTAGAAATATATATTAATATATATTTTTAATAAAAATATATTAATTTTAATTAATTTAAAATAATAATTTATATTATTAAATATAAAATTTATTTATTAAATATATAAAAATATATATATGATATAAGTATGAAACAAATACTATATTTTTTATTTTTATTTTTATATTTAATAAAAATTTAAAATTATATTTATTCTCATACAATATAATATCAATTTTCATATTTATTTGGATATAAAGTCGATTATTTATAGGGTATCAGTAAGATTGATATATTTAGTTTTTGATTTCTACTCATTGAGAACAAAAATGAAATCTTTGGCCATCTATGGAAAACATTTTAATTAAAATGTTACGAATGCTACAAAAATAGAAATTAAAATGTTACGAATGCTACAAAAATAGAAAGGTGTTTATGAAACTAACTAGATCATTAGATTTTCCGATTGCATTGATTAAAAAAAATATATGGATGGAAATTGGAATGGAACCCAAGGCAAATCAATCCATGTAATTTCCATGGAGTTTGAGTGAGACAGCATGCATAGGTTGTACCACGCCGAGAGTGTCAAAGGGTTCGGCGTTTGTTATTTTCATTGCGAATTCAACGGTCAAAAGAAAAAAGTGATTCTAACTTCTACGACTACTTTATGTTAGAAGATCGTGTTCGTGGGGATTACATAGATCATGGACTGGAACGATTCGGGTGAACAGAAATTCTTGAATTTGAGTCTGACAATTCAAAATATTTTTATTTAATTTCAATTTAAAAAAATATATAAAAATGTAAAAATAATATATTAATTAGTATCGAATTTAAATAAACAGATTTAATTGGAAACTTTAATCTGTCAATCGAATGCGATTTTTTTTTACACAATTTGTTAACTCTGTTAATGAAAATACTTATTATTTTTTTAAAAAAAATATTTTCTAGAAACTTTCTCATCTGTTGATATTTGAAAATTGAAATATTCAATTTTAATTTTATTGGCGTTCTAAAGTTGTCGTAATTGTTCGATAATGTCAAACGTTAAATTAAGAGACTCACAAGACAGAGACAGGGAACACCGAAGTTAATTCTATGGGGACACTAACTTCCAAATCGGTATATTTATATTTAATTATTGTACTCAATTCTCAAAACTAGACTTGTTTAAGTTCACAGTCATAAAAATTTGAGATTAATTTAAAAAATGACTGTGAATTGGAATATTAAAAGCAGTGGGTAGAGCTAATACATCGCTACTCTAACTGTCATTATTCAGACAAGTCATGACCCCTGAAATGGTTTAAAACTTTGAAGAATGGGGGGGTAAATGCTTTGATAGACTCATGTTTGCTGACAATGATACCGGTACGAGATAGACAAATAATATAGAAATAATATGCATCAATAAGCATTCAAAAAAACTATCATTAATTAAAATTATGGTTTAATATATATATGATAATGAGAGTGTGAAAGACAGCTGGATTGTTGAATATTGGAAATTAATGAACCGTTGAACGGTTTAGATTTGGAATATTGACCAGTCATGGCACGTCACTTTATAGTTAGAAACATCTTCATCTTTTGACCGGTGAATGATTGATTAATGCATGCCCATTTTATTTAATTTAATATTTGTAAACAGGTTGATTAATAGAATATCCAATTACTAGCTCCTCCTTTTGGAATTCCATAGATTACAAGGGCTATCCTCAATCGTCCAATGCATTTATTTCACACATAATTTTTTATTATAATTCATAAAGATTTTGATGCTTTTCACCTGGAATAAAACTTGAAAATGGAGGAGAAAAATATCAATTATTTTTTGAATCAATTGATATTTAAAAATTATGAGTTTGAGAGAATTTAGATGTATAATATTTTTTTTTTATTTAAGTTTGTAATAGAATAGAATGATTTAAGAATAAATTAAAAATTTTAAAAAAATGAAAGAGAGAAATTAATTATTTTTAAAAAATCAACAATGTTCCTTATATAATTAAGTAAATATAAATCTAATGAATATAGAACAATGGGATGATCATGATCGTCGTTGGCTTATTTTGTACGTTGAGAATAATAGAAACTAAAGTACAGTCACAGATAATATAATGAAGCATTGAACAACTCTCATTCCTTACGGAAACGTATAACCAAACAAAGAGAGTGAAAAGACACCTTTCATTGTCGAATGGCTCGAGGAATCGGGATTAATGTGAAATTAAAGACGAGTCTTTGAATTAATATCATATTCCAGAACAATAAGATGAGAAAATAGCAACAGCTACTACTATCAAGGCAAAGTTGTAATAACGAAAAGATTAACAATAATTTTAAAATATTAGATTCTTTGTTTCATTAATTGAAATTTGAAATTTATTCTCTAACAATTTTAAATATAAAAAATAGTTAAAAAATAATAGCAAAGAGATTTTTTTAACTATATTTTAACAATAAACGTGAACTAAAAGTCGATTTGGTCAAACTCGATCGCACCTTAAGCTTTTCAAGGTGTGAAATGGGCTCGGCCCATTCACACTTCCACTCCACTGACCATCTTGAGTAGATTTTAGAGAAACTACCAATTTCATGAAAGTACAAATATATATATATCAGATCCATTCCATTTTATGCTTCTACTACCTTGTTTGCTTTTCTTTGTCTGTGTTTCTCTGTTTTTTACATTACAGAAATGGAAACAACTGCAGCAGCTCCAGCTCCATACCTGCATGGCAGTCAAAAACTTCTTCATCTGGTTTGTGCAATTTTTTTTTTCACTATTTTACTTGGATGAATGGTTTGTGGGAGTTTAGGAGATATGTTGAACGAAAAGGATACAACCATAAAAGACAAGCTTGTAGTAGTATTTTTTTTATTTGAATTTAGCTTACATTTTCATTAATTGTTTAAAGCAGTTTGTTGAAATGCATATATCTATGATTATAAACGTTGATTCAGGTAAGGCATGCACAAGGGCTTCACAATTTAGAGGCAGAGAAGAGGCCAACATCAATTGACTTGGTTGATCCTGAGCTCTCCTCTCAGGGCTGGCAGCAGGTGACAGAAGCAGTTTTAAAAATAAATCTTCGCCATGGTTTCATTTCGCCTATGAGTATAATGTTGTAATTAGGAAATATAATATATAGCAGTTCCGTCAATGGATTTGTCCTGAAATTTGCCTAGATCCCGCAACCAGAATAGACTATTTTGATAAGTGAAAAATAAAATGACGACAAAAAAATTTACACAGAGATTTACGTGTTTCATGGGCCAATACGAATTTTACTATGAAAGTCAAGAAATTTACAAAAAACAAAAACAAAAAAATAGGACACCCTAACCAAAATCTTACCGTGTGCACTTTTATTTTGCTCGCTCTCTCGGCTCTCTCTAGCTCTCTCTAGCTCTCTCGCTTCACTTTGGGATTTTGGGATGTCCGAAACCTTTGCAGCACGGGCCTTATATAGGCATTGGACTCCTGAAATTTCGCTTCTTAGCCCACCATATTGCAAGGCTGTCGGTGCTGACTTTCATCTCCCATGCAAAGTTTTCAAATGTGGGTGCAAACTTCTTTTACTTTTGAAGCTGAGCTAGCCAAAAGAATTCATCCTTCTCCTTTCTTCTAACTTTACTGCTCCAAATAAGAATTGATTGGCTAAAAAAAGTTTACAATTTCAGCTTGACTTATCAAGCCACCAATCAACAGGATTGTTACAGGAGTGACATTTAAATTAGCTAGTTTAACTGCAGGTTCGTGATCAGCGGAAAAATCTCTCTGCAAGCGGGCTGCTGGAGAGGATTGAGGTAGTCATCACGTCCCCTTTGTTAAGGTATCGATTTCTCATATTTCAGTTTCTCTAGCCCCTCCAATATCAAATCAATAACTTCAAATATATCCTTGAGTATCTATCTCAATCTGAATTCGTCAGGATAACATTTCGGTCTCTCTTGGGGGGTTCTAAGGAATGGTCCTTGATTTTAATGGTTGAATTGCAGGACATTGCAGACGTCAGTTGGAATTTTTGGTGGTGATCCAGATCGTCCGGATCATGTAACTCCATTACAGGAGGCAAATATAGAGAATGACGGTCAGCGTGGGATATCAACTTTCAATCGCCTACCAATTATAGCATCTGAACTTTGTCGAGAACGCAAGGTATGTTGCTGACATATCTAACTCCAGCATAGATTCCTTAATTTGAGAGTGAAATTGAAGTAGGCAATCTACATGCCTTTATTAATAAGTTAGTCATTGGCGATTTATTTATATAAGTTTGGAAATTAAAGCTTACGTTTTTGTTCTCACATGATCTATGATCCAATTCAATGTAGAGTAAAAATCGACAGAGAGGAACCCTCAGCCAGTGCCGGTCTCGTTTCCCTGCAGTTGATTTTTCTTTGGCAAGTACTTCAATCACTTGTAGTTTCGCCACCGTACGTCCTGGTTGCATATATAGAATAATTACTTGATTCCATATGTAACAAATTAGTCCACTACACTTCTGTACTTCAGATTGAAAGTGAAGATGACGTTTTGTGGGAGTCTGACGAACGCGAAACCAATGAAGCAGTTGCAGCTAGGGGAATTAAGTTTATCAAATGGTGTGTGTACTAAAATCTTCAATTCTTATAAACTAGGGCTATCCGCTTTCCTGTCATGCACATATGTATAATATAGCTGTGTTGATTATAAAAACCAACAGAAGACCCTGGTGAGTACCTACAGATATTATCAGATTGTTTATATTTTAAGGATTTTAATGACATACTCACGTCTGCTGAACATATATGCATTGGATACTGATACTAAAAGAAATGAAAACTTAATTAGTGCAGCAAATTAAGCAAAGATCAAATTTCTTGTGGGGATGATAATCTCGAGTAATTTAAGTACTTTTCAATCGATACAGTGCAAAAGCCAAAATCAACTCCAATAAACTTGTTTATGTCGCTTAATCTTAATTCCAGGTTGTTGGGACGGAAAGAAAAGGAGATAGCAGTGGTCAGCCATGGAGTTTTTTTACAGCAGACAATGATTGCACTTAGAAATAAGTGTTACCCCTTAGTGGATGGTGATTTTAATTACAGCCGGTAATTCAGTGTACATATCATATATACATACATACATACATATATATATATATATAGTCCTCTAATTCTCGTGTTATTGAAACTGACACACACCAAACCTCAAGCAATTTTACTGTTAAAACCTTTTTGCACAAGTCAAAGCTATCCTCATATTGTTGTCCTATATAAATATGCAGGTTCGGAAATTGTGAAATTCGTTCAGTGATCATTTTTAATGAAAGGTGAGCACATAAATTTGCAAAAAAAAAAAAAAAAAGAAAGAAAAAGCAAATGTGTTTATCCTCATTAATCTATGTAAGTTCTCATATCCTTTTTATTTTTTATTTGCATCTTGTAGCGTAATGGGATTGGGATCAGATTCCTTGACAACTAGCTATCAGGCCCATGGTGGAAGAATCACTCGTTATGGACTTCAACTCCAAAATGATTCTGCCGAGGATAATGTTCCAGTCGATGAAGCGACCAACTAATAGCTAAATCCCTGCCATTGGATCCAACATACTAGGTGTTTTCCCAAGAACTAGTTTGAAATAATCTTTAATCATTAATATCGGTAAATATGCCGATAAATTGTATAATCTATTGATAAAATGTTATATTAATATTGTCATATAAACTTTATTTATCATTTTGCCATATTAATGTTGCTATATAACTTTGTTGAATGGCATTCTAATTGAACTTAAATAATAATAATAAGTTCATTAAAACTATAGATAAACGTGAAATTCTTTATTTTAAATTTTCTTATAGATATATTTTTTTATTAACTTGTTTGGTGTAAATTTATTCATGAAAGTTTCTCACTTCTAAGATTTTTTCTTAGTTTGTCTAGTATAGCGTATACATGATTATTTATTTATTTATTTTTATTTATTATAACAATTTTTTTTATAAAGTTTCATAAATATACACTATAAAAGAAATCAATAAACAATTAACCAACAAAATGTAAAATTTGAAGCTGTAAATTCAAGTATGGAAAAATTAAAACATGAAATTTTAAAGCTCTAAAACGTCTCTCATTTTTTATTGAGACAAGAACAATTATCAGTCCTAATATATAGGATTTACTTGTTGTAAATTTAATTTGTAATCCAAACCGAAGTGGTAATTAGTAAAGATCATGGAACTTTCTTTGGTTCCTCTCTATATAGAAAGAAAGGATAAAAAAAATGAAAATGCTAATGAAAGTTATTTTATCCTTAAAGTTTTACAATGTAAATGAAAGCATAATTTAAGTTACTATCTTGCAAATATTTTGATAGGCTCATTTCATATTCATATTTGCCAATTTTCAAAATTAAATTTGTGAAATGCACATTTTCACAAAAACATATCATCTATGATTATTATAAATAATTAATTATAAATTAAAATTATATAAAAATAATTTTTAAAAAATGTGAAATTTATTAAAATTTTGTATAAACTTTATGTTTATAAATGATAGATTCTACATAATATTTTGTCGAGATGAAGTAATTGAAGAATCGTAATAAAAAAATTTACAAGAAGAGTGAAATGCTTGATGATCAAAAGCAATTTTGGGATATAGACGATTAACCCTTTGTCTAAGTTGACAAAAACAGTAGGACAGATGCACCTAGCTAATAACACAGAGTCAGTACAAGAATAGTAATCATGCGGCCACTGTCATTGAAGTTAAGGGACATAGAGACCAATGGGAGTAGTACCGAAGAAAAGACATCCTCTGAATGATTAATTCAATTGTGGAATAATTCAGGGAAGTCATGAACCCTCCAATGGTTTGGAAAGCTATGTCTTTGTCTTACTAACAAATTCTAATGGTTTATGTTAATGTTGACACCACCTTACTCTTAAACAGTTAATTTCTTTATAAAAATTCTCTCTCTCTCTCTCTCTCTATATATATATATATATATTTTTTTTTTTTCAATATAATTTTTAACTCTACAATCAAAATCAGAAGACTTGTACATATTTTATTTTTTACTTTACTAATCCCACATTTGAAATCTAAAAATTTCACTTTTAATGGATGAAATTAGATATCTATGGAATGAAACATTTCCTTTCCTATTCTCTTTCCCACCTTAATTAAAATCAAATTTTCATCAAACCCAGAAATTCATTAGGCTGGATCTAAGCTTCCTTTTATTGATATTCCAGAGTTACAACAAAAAGGCATCTCTCTGATAGTGGAACGATAAGGACAGGGCCACAGGGGATATGCACTCAAATTATATACATAGTTATATTATAAGTAAGCAATTAACTACACGCTAGTTGTCCAAGTCAAGGTTATTTGTCTTTTTGAGATGCAGCCTTGGCAGCATGCAAGTAGATCCATTCTTCAATGAAATCCCGACCTCAAATTCATCATAGAAATGTCTCCTTAGGAGACATAGTCTCTTTCTTTCACTATGTGAGGAAAAAAAAAGCAAGATCAGAGATATGTTAGTAACAAGTCATGGTGTAACCGATCCTAAAAAGGTCTGCAACTTTTACCTTCAATTGAAGTCCATATATAGTGAATCAACATTATTGCTACCCGAGGTGCTTCCATCCTTCAACTGGTGAAGCAAATGGGGCGCATCATACTCCTTTTCAGCATTCATGTGCTGATAATTAGGAGGATGATCGCTTTGGAGTAACATTTGCAGAACCGTTCTCATGCAGGGTCTTATTGAAGGCAATGTTCTAGTACAATAGATTCCGAGTTTGAAGACGTTGCACATTTGATTCAAGTGACAACCTTCCTTGATATCTTCATCTAATGCATCTAGTATTGAGTTGCCTCCTTGAATGTAATCTTGAGCCCATTCTGCAAGTGATCTGTTTTCATCTCCATGACTCGCTTTTCTTCCCGTTGTTAGCTCCAAAAGGATGACTCCAAAGCTATAAACATCAATCTTTTCGTTTATTCTTCTTGTATGAGCATATTCTACAGTTCAATTCAATTAAAAATAAGGATAATATTTAACTAGAAATCAAGCTAGTAGAAGTGGATGCAAAATTGAATCATATAACAAAAAGAAGTCTAACAATATTGTCCATGCTGCAACTCACCAGGAGCAATGTAGCCGAAGGAACCAGCCACCACAGAAATTGTTGTAGGTTCTCCTTGTTTGATTAACATCTTAGCTAGACCAAAATCAGCGATTTTAGCATTGAATTCAGAATCTAATAGGATGTTGCTTGATTTCACATCTCGATGAATAATGGGAGGGAAGCAATCATGGTGCATATAGCAGAGTCCTTGGGCAGCTCCAATTGCAATTTGGAATCTCTTAGGCCAGTCCAAGATTATTGCTGATGCTCGATGCTTATCCAACCATTGGTATAGGCTACCATTTTCCATGTACTCATAAACCAGAAGTCTTGACATTGAATCCTCACTTGAGATGCAACACATCAGTTTCACTATGTTCAAGTGCTGAATTCTACTCAATGTCATAACTTCAGCTTGAAATTGCTTTTCCAATTCCTGCTCCAACTTTTTGTTATTCCAAATCCGTTTAACAGCAACAAAATCACCATTGCCAGTTATATCAACACGGTAGACTTCTCCTGACCCCCCATCTCCAATCCTGTTTGTTTGATCTTTCAATCCTGATAAAATGCCTTCTGTTGTGAAATTCAACATTTGGAAAGGGGTGAGCTCCCATATTGAACCTGGTGCACGATTTCTCTTCCTATATAATTTAGTCAGGAAGAACGAAACAGATAAACACAGTACAAGAACTGCTGCACTTGAAATCCAAATAAGATTTTGAGGATAACTTAAGCTAGAGTTTTTTTGTGAACCACAAATGTGAAGGTTTACATTTGCAGTAGTTGCACAAAGACCAGGATTGTTTACGAAGCTGTTGGAATATGCATCATTTTCAAACTCTCTTGGAATGTTCCCCGTGAGATGATTGGAAGAAAGGTTAAAGGAAGTAAACCTTAGACGACCAAGTTGAGGAGGAATTTGGCCAGAAAATTGGTTTTCTGACAAATCCAATTGGTTAAGGCACGGTAGAAAACCAATGGCCTTTGGAATTTGACCAAAAAGTTTATTTTTACTAAGATTTAGAGTACTGAGTGACCTCCATGAGATTATATCAGACGGAAGGGAGCCATGGAGTTGGTTTTGATCAAGCAAAAGAATAGACAGAGATGGAAGAGCTGTTAATTCTCTCGGAATCGTACCATTAAGGAAGTTGTTACTGGCATTAAATACAGAAAGTTTCCTCCATAGCTTCACTTCAACAGGAATTTTTCCGAAAAACCTGTTGTTACTGATCTCAAGTCGGGTGAGATTATATGACACTTTTCTGGGAAGCTCACCTGTGAACAAGTTGTCACTTATCATTAACTTTGATAAGTCCAACGATGTCCATAGACCACTAGGAATGCTCCCAGTAAGACCATTCCTGGAGATTTCGACTGTTGTTAAGCTATTACAGTTACCAAGTGATTTTGGCAATTCTCCAGTAAGATTGTTATCAAAAGCTACAATTCCTAGCAACTTACCTCCATTGCATAAATTCTTAGGCAACATCCCCGTAAGCCTGTTAGAAGCAACCTCGAATATCTGGAGCATTGAGTACCGGCCGAAATCTAGAGGCAGGGTGCCTGACAATTGGTTGCTAAACAATCTAACGTCTGTTAATGTTGAGATTCGTCCGATGCCTTCTGGAATTTCACCCGACAGTTGATTGGAAAACAGAACCAAACCCGATAACTTTTCTAGTTTCCCAATATCACTCGGGATTCTTCCAGTCAGGTTGTTTTGAGAAAGATCAATCACAGTCAGATTGGAAGATCTAATTACTTGAGGAATCTCTCCAACTAAACTGTTGTTGAAAAGATCTATCTTCTTCAAATTCTTTAACAAGAACAAAGCATTTGGGATTTTTGCCGTCAATACATTGTTAGATAAATCCAATACCTCGAGAGCTGCCATATCTCCAATTATATCGGGGATTTCACCAATTAAATTTGCATTACACATCCATAATGTCTTCAGCTTCTTCAATTGTGTGAAACTTGAAGGCAACTTGGACGGCAGTAACTTTGAATTATATGCCAATCCCAAATATTCAAGTTCAGACAAGTTGCCAATTTCCGGCGGGAGAGAACCATTGAACTGGTTTGCAGCAAGCTGAAGGTTCCTTAGCTCTTGTAACCGTCCAATGCCTACGGGAATGTCACCAGAAAAGTTATTACTCGTAAGGTTCAAGCACTGGAGCCGACGCAGTCTGTCAATGTCATCAGGGATTGTGCCGACAAAATAGTTTTGAGAGAGGTCCAAGTGCTCAAGTTTGGAACAGTTGTAGAGAGGTTTTGGAAATTCACCTATGATGTTGTTGTAGTTAAGATCAATGGATGTAAGGTTCTTAAGGCCACAAATGAAAGATGGGATTTTTCCGTTGATTGTCTTGTTGGAAAGGTGTAACTCAGTGACTGAGTTGTTAGTGCAAGTGATTTCAGGCCAGCTGCAATGGTTGGAAAAGTTTGATGACAGGATCCAGTGGCTGATGGACGATGGATTTTGCCAATATTGCTTTAGTTGAATTAAGATAGCTTGTTCTTGAGCATCATGCAGTTGGGAGCATGCATGGCTCAGAAGGAGAACAAGGGCGAGGGCATTGAAATGAATTTGGAGGAATGCGGCTTTTGCTTTCGACATTTGGGACATGGGGAAGTTTGTGGTATATGTATTGTTTGCTACTAAACAAGAGTGAAATTCAGTATCAGAATCCCGCTGACTGAAGCATAGAAGTGTAATTTAACGGCTATATTTTCAAGGCTTGAGTGGGTGGAATGGGTAGCAATGAAGAATTAATGGTAGAATCTTAAAAGGGCTATGCTTTCACAACTTAAGGGGTTGAATATTTATAACTAGCTGGAAGCATTTTTTTTTTTATTTATTTCAAAGGATGACAACGCCCTACTACATAAAACAAAGAGAGGAGGTAATTTGGTTTGAACCCAAGCTCTAATATTTTTCGTAAGGTATTTTTGCTATTAGGTCAAGAAAAAAAAAAAAACTCGTTGGGAGCATTCAAGGGGTTAGATATTCAATGATTCTTTGGAAACTGGAGCCAATGATAATACTCCAATTTACAAAGATTCTTATTAAATGGTTCTCGTTAGAGAACCGATCCCTACGAACAAGTCGTGGAAAAGGGAGTTTGATAATAAATGGTCCAATGGAACACTGACAAAGACACTACTCTCAGTCTCAGGGATTAGAAGCCAGAACCAGTTAGTTAGCCATGCTCCCAAGTCGAAGAGTAAGGAAAACTAGTCTATTATACTGCATTTTTTAGGTTATGGTAAATAAATCTATAGAAATTGAAATAATCATACTTTTTATCTTATTCCAAAAGATGTTTCGTCTTTTCTTGGCACTGACCCCTCCAAAACGGTCTTTTCTAGTACATGTAACATGCTACTATCACAATTAGTACACCCCAGCAATTAGAAAAACAAAAAGGTAGAAGTAATAAATTTGCTTTGGCTGCCAAATTGTTGTTTTAAGTTTCCCATGGATGGGATGGAGTAATCTACGTGAACATATAATTGAGTTAATATCATTTTATGTTAACAACTACTAGTTAAAACTTGATTAATGACCTCAAAAGGGACACCTTAAATTTAAAACTTGAAGATCGAAGTTCAGTTCTTAAAACTGAGATGGGATGACAAGGAAAATAATTATTTTTTATTGTGTAATCCAAAATTTTATATATACTAAAAATTTTAAAAAAAAAACTCGATTAAATAAATCGTATATGCTTATGATCATAAAAGAAATTAACTTTATACATACATGCATATGTATGCAGAAGAGAATACCTGCATTTTTTCACATTTTAAATCTGTGTGTATATGAAATGTTTAGGTTATCACATCTGTTGGAAATTAGTGCAACGTCGTAGTTATATAGGTGGGGAAGAGGTTGGTGTTGGCCTGTTAGGGAGTGGTGGAGGGGGAGAAAGAGAGGAAAGGTCAAAAGAGCATGATCCTTTCCTTTTGGAGGAAGACCAAAAGAAAGTATCGCCAAAGACTTTGACCCACCTAAGAGAAACAGGCATTTTAATATCATATCAATGAAAAACAAGACTCTTGAGCTTGACTCAGAGTGCAATCAAAGAACATTTTCATGGCCACCATCCACAATGGAATGGCCCTGCTAGGCTGCCACCATGTTTAATTTAACCCTTCGTTCCTAATTAATTTATGGAAACAGTTTCTTGGCCACTATTTGTAGTGGAATGATCTTATTATGTTGTTTAATTTAGTTCTCCACGCATAATGCAGTCAAAGAACAATGGAATGACCACTATTTTCAGTAGGATGGTCCTGCTACAAACTTAAGTCCTTCCACTTCATTTAATTAGATACTAGTAGATTGATCAGAATCATTCTAGTGGCATCAGAATCATTCTAGTAGCATCGGAATCATTTTAGTGGCATCCTTGTCAGATTGCCATATCATGGGAAAAAAAGTTTCAAATGCCATTGCTATTTTGTGTGGGTTAGGCAAGGGAAAGGTAAACAAATTTGGATCATATATATGTTGCAACTTCAGAGGCATTTGCAGTCCTGCCAGTTTAAACTTAAGAAAGAAGGTCTGCGTATGTCTCTGTGTGTGTGTGTGTGTGTGTGTGTGTGTGAGACATCACGATAGCATGCATATTATTACATAGTTCCTTCTGAATAAAGTGTGTGCATGTCTGCGTGTCTCAAAATAAGGAATAAAACTGAAAACTGAAAGTGCTTGATGTCCAGCTCTGACGACTGTAATACTACATGAAATCTATGATAAAGCAAGACAAGTTTTCTGTCAAGTAACATGCTCAGATAGCACTGCCCTGCAGTAGGAGGCATGCCCTCTTATTGCAGGACATCTCAATAAATTATAACCCTCCCCCAATCCCTTCCTCTTTTTTTCTTGCACATAAATGCCAGTCCCACTAAAAAATGGAAACAAATCGAAGCCAACTAAGGCACATAAATCCCAGTTCCACTAAAAAATGATGTTCTTTGCTATTCAACTTATTATTGCAAGTCGAGAACAAATAGAGTCTAAAGTATATAGATCATTCATCATTCACATTCTGACTAGCAGAAGATAATGGATGGATTGAGACATATAGTCTTAGATGGAAGTTTACTGGCTAGGCATATAAAGTCTTGCTCTCTTTCTGATAGTTGGGAAAGAGGAAATCTTAACTTTTGACCTTTTTGAAAGTAAGGTGTGGCTAGCATCAAGCTATTATCTTGGCCCGAAACAAGTCATAATTAATATAAGGAATCAAATGCTACTTCTCTATATAAAGAAGACGACTCTGAATTTCGAACTAAAGCAGGGTCTAAAGCCTAAATGCAAAATGCGATTGCGGTTTCACAATTTTGGTACAATGGCATCAGTAGTATAACATCCAAGCCATTTACTTCCAACTCTACAATAACAGGTATCGTCTACTGACTCAAGCTCAAACAACTTACCGATGAATGAAGAGAGTAAATATAATTTTTTAACGCCGTTGGATGCATTGCTTGCACCATAGCTTAGATGTGAACAGTAATTATAGCAGCAAAAACACAAGATTGCAAATAAGCTTATCAAGAGTTATATTATGAAGCGAGACTGTAAATGGCAGCATATAAAAAGCAATAAGCTATCAACATCATATCACCAAACTGAAAATTTTATAAACTGCAACAAACAATGACACAGCATAATTTTAAGTTGCCATAATATTGAACAAGGATCGTCAATGTAGTACTAGAATTTAACAAACATGTAAGTATTTAATGGTTTACCGGGTTTAAGAATCAAGGGTCACGTTGTTGAGCCTCTCCAGAGCCAAAATCAAAGCTTAGGTTCCCAAATTCCCTTCCCCATGAGCCTTAAGCGACAAATAAAGCTGTTGAGCCAAAGCCAAACCGGGCAAAGCAAGTCCCATGTTTTGACAATCCTTTAAACAAATCCCCAAATCCTTAACAAAATGATTCACGAAGAAGCCCGGATCGAAATCCCTCTTCAAAATCCTTCTCCCATACAAATCCAATGATTTTGGAGCCAGCTGCCCCCATTGATATCGCATCCAAAAATGACGCCACATTGAGCCCTGCTTTGTGGGCGTAAATAATTCCTTCTACTAATCCGACCGTGGTTGATCCTATCGTGATTTGATTCGCTAATTTTGCGAATTGGCCTTTCCCGCTGGGGCCCATGTAATTAATTTTTACCATGAGGGTAAAAAGGGCGTTTAAACGGTGGACGATGGCTTCCTCTCCGCCCGCGAATATGGCGACGGTCCCGTTCTTGGCACCTCGGTCGCCTCCAGAGACGGGGGTGTCGATGGAGTAGCAGTTCTTGGAGGAGGCGGCAGCGGATATTTCGACGGCGAGGGAAGGTTCCGATATTGTCATGTCCACGAGTATGCCGCCGTGACGGACACCGGAGAGGGCTCCGTCAGTGGGACCGAGAAGGACTTGGCGGACGTCCGAAGGGTAGCCGACGATGGAGAAAACAACGTCGGATTGGGCGGCGAGGTTGTGAGGAGTCTGGGCTAGGCGAGCACCCACGTCGACGAGGGGTTGGGCCTTGGAGAGGGTTCGGTTGAAGACGGTGAGAGTGTAGCCAGAGTTGATTAGATGAGCACACATGGATCGGCCCATTACGCCGGTTCCATTCTAGCCCACGCTGGTGTTGGATGGGCTGATGGGCTCGGAAGCTTCGTATGTGGCCATAGAGCCGAGAAGAGAGGTAGGGTGAGGAGGAGAGGGAGTTTCAGAATGGTGATAATAGCGAGAGAGTGAGCGGAATATAAATGATAATGATCGCATTTTATTTTTATGCGAATTATCTTTTTTTTTTTTTTATTGTGTGAGAAATGGTAATTTACTAAAATTTTGGTTCGATTTTGATTGTCAGGATTTGTTTTTTGTTTTTTCTTGGACAATAATAAAGCCGGCCATGTTTTGTCTTCTGCTATAAATCTGAAATTCAGCGACCATTTACCTGCTAGATAAAGGAACATAGTTAACCATCAGCAATCAGTCTGCCTTACGCCAGTCCAGGGTCATGGAAAGATCAACTTGGTTTCATCAGAAAATGAAGTTCGAGGCAACGTAAAGCAACCCATCCTTCAATCTTCTTTCTTTGGCGAGCAAACAGAGAAATTTGCATCTAGCTGTTGATTAATCATTGTAACACATCCGCTGTTCCAACAGATGCAATGGTTAGCAAAAAAAGGGAAAGCTGCAGAATGCAATGGTTTCGATCGAGAGCATAATTATGAAAATAACAATCCATAAGAAAAGACACTTTTGTGTCAATATATCAATGCATTAACATATGTATTCAGCACAAAAGTCAAATTAGTTTGTAGCACAAATCTACTTGAACAGAGGAAAACAAAGGGATAAATAAAACTATCGTTTACTCAAAAAGTAGAGAGAACATATTGAATGTCTTGTTTCCATGTAACAAGCAGAAATGCCCCATTGAAGGTCTTGTTTCCATGTAACAAGCAGAAAACGTATAACTGATATAAAGATGCAACTCAGAGGGCAAATAATGGATAACCATGAAAGGGATTTTAACAAAAATCAATATATGAAAAAACAGAAATCAGAATTTCATGCAGCAAAACTGTCAGTTTATGAAACTATAGTAAAGCAAAGACATAGTAAAGCAAAGACCTTTCCGAGGAGAAGGGCAAAAGCAATAGCAACATAACCATTGATTCACATACAAGCATCACCAATATCTCCTAACAAAATTTGTCCATTGCTTATTATACTACTATTCAAAATTTTCATCAAAAAAAAAAAAAAAAGAACAATGGAAAATAAAAGATTCTATATTTATATCAAAATAAAAACTTTTAACCTCTTTAAATGCTCCATTTCACTTTAACTCAAAAGTTGGCAAGGGCGGTGCATCAAAACTCTCCAAAATCTCTGTTTTGGCACCTCCACTTCTGACCTCATCTTTCTTCTTGCCTCCACCAAACCACCCTCCAAACCAACCTGAATCCGAGGAAGATCCAACCGTATTTCCGGTCTGACTCGGCAAGCCCATTGGGAGACCAACCCCATGCCCCGGTTCTTCGATCATTACAGGCATACTTTGTTGGGCGGAGAGGACTTTGTTGAGCATGATCCCAGATCCTTCGATAAGAGCCAATAGGACCCCACCCAAAAGGGCCGATCGAGCTGAGGCGCCGAGTCCTTGGCGCATCTGAAGGAAGCCACCGGTGGCGGCTCCGGCGAAGATGGAGTTGCAAGGGTCTTCCTTTTGGCGAACATAAACCATGGTGCAATCGAAGGCAGAGAAGAGACCTCCCCAGACAGCGAAGCTTCCACCCACACGCGGAGCATTCATACGAAGGGCTTGTGAGCCGCGGAGGAAGCATGAACCAGTTGCCGAGTTGTAGAAGCCCTTGAGGAAGTGGAAAGCCGATCCTCCCACCGCTCCCATCCCAAACGCCCCGCCGATGTCGTCGAGGATGCGATCAGGGCAAAGTTCCCGAGAGGTTTCTGGAGTTCCCGTTCTAGATTTTTTTTTTTTTTTAGTTCGGTTTTTCTGTGGGCTGATTAGGTCAGGGGGTATTGGAGGGGTTTTAGCTTTGACAGTGGTAAATGAAATGAGACCTTTTCGGTGGTTTCTTCCTTTTCTTGGAAGAGTGTCGTTCTTTGTGTTCGATTTTAAGTTATCGGCCTGACGGAAAAGCCCCTCTGGAAAAGTCAAAAGAGTTCGATATTTTCGATTTACGGTGTATTTGTTTTATTGAATTTCAAACAAATTTCTTGTTGGGAAAAGAAACAGATATTTGTATTGACGGGAAAAAAAAACAAAAGGGCATTGTCGGCATTTAACAAGGATATTTCAGTCACTTCAGAAACAGAAAAACCGGGAGGTTTTGCAATGGCGGCGTCGTTTTGAGCTTCGGCAGCCAATGAAACCTAAAAAATCATTTGCTAATTGCTATGATGCTATCGGTTATAAAGAACCAGACGTGTAAAATCATTAAAGGAAGCTGGTCTAACCATTGACGGAGAGTGGATATGGTTATTGCTTTACTAACAGGTAGAGTTTTCTTTCACTGAACTGCCTTTTCAATTTCCAAGTTCATGTCTCATTTATAAAGAGAGTGGTAGTTCTGTAATTCTATCTAAGAATGCGCACAATGGTACTTTAACCTGACAAAGAGCCAAGCATTTCCAATTGTTATTAGATTTTCTTCACAAACCAAATGTGTCCAACAATTTCATACCTCAAAAAACCAATCTTTACAAATTGGGTCTTGTCCAAAACCCTCGTTAAACCCTTCCTTGATGAATACCACCCATAAAGTTCTCCACTTTCACCATAAGTCCTTAAAATTTAGCAGTTTGGAAAAACCCAGAAGTATTTTAAGTGGGTTTAGGATGAGGTGTGCTATACATTGTTGTTCTTTGGTAAGAGCTAAAAGTTAATCGTGTTTGCATTCAAGAACTGGTGAAGAGAGGGATTTAACTAGAGCAGGGAAATCATTGCGTTGGTTAGCCTCGGAGAAAGTGAATGGGTCGAAAGGGTAACATAAAGTAGCAATTGCGAAGGCTAATAGTTGTTCTTCTTGGAAGGAATTGTTTGATAGGTTGGAGATAGAGAATAATCGCTCCGCTTGGGAGGAAACACCGAAGTGGTTGGAGAAGGTGACGGTAGGAAAAACTGGACAGTCCTTAGGGGAGGATTCCGATTCTGTTGAATCTTTTTTGTGAAAAAAAAGGGTGCTCACTTACTAGATATGAAAGAGAGTAGACATAGGAACTTACGTATGATGAGTGATCATCGTAACAGTAGTCATGGCTGAGGGGATGAAAGCAATTAAGAAAAAAAAGTAAGAGAAGAGGATGAGGTTGTCAATTATTCAAAATGGGATAAGATTAAGGGTAGGTTTAGAGGAATGGTTGGCGTAGAACTTGGGTCTGAGAAACCAGAGTGTCGAAGATGGAATAACCAAGAATGTTGGGGTAGGAAAACATGGAAAGGGGCTACTGATTCAACTTTACCTAAGATGGTTGGTGGAGGGGTTTATGGGGTGGGTCCTGTTTTGGCTGCATTGTCTGCTGGAAGAAGGGAATTTTAGGCTTTGTATGTCCAAGAAGGATTAGATTTGAGTAGTAATAATAGGAAAAAAAAGGATTAGAAAGGGTTTGAAAAAGTTTTTATGATGGCTGAAAAACTTGGCTTAAATGTAAAGGAAGTTTCAAAGCATGATCTCAATATGGTTGTTGATAACCGCCCCCATCAGGATTTGGTGCTTGATGCTTCCCCCTTATAGATGGTGAAAATAAAGGAATTGGATTCTGTCTCAAATGATGAAGAAAAAGTTTATCTTTGGGTAGCTTTGGATGAGGTTACTGATCCTCAGAATTTGGGGGCAATAATTAGGTCGGCTTACTTCTTTGGAGCCTCAGGGGTGGGGCTATGTGCAAAAAATTCAGCTCCATTAGGTGGTGTTGTGAGCAAGGCAAGTGCTGGCTTACTTGAATTAATGGAGCTTCGATATAGCAAGAATATGATGCAGTTCTTAGCATCAGCCGAAAATGGTTGGCGAGTTCTTGGGGGCTCTGTTTATTCAAAAGTTGTCCCCTTGAATGATGTTTTGCCAGGCGTGCCAACCGTTCTTGTTTTAGGCAGTGGAGGTACTGGCTTGTGTCCTTTAGTAGAGAGATCATGCACTCAGTTAGTTGGGATTCCTGGAAACTTTCCTGTGGACATAGCAGCCAGAGAGGTTAATGATATGGAACCTACAGAAGTGGATTCTGGGTGCTCAGGCAGGGAGCTCCGGTCCTTTTTGGCTTTGGAGAGCTTGAATGTCAGTGTTGCAGTAGGTGTGCTTCTTCACCACTTAATTGGAAGCGGTATTAATTTTCCAATAGATGACAAGCCAACTGATATGCATCAATGATATGCCATGGCTGATGCATTAAGCTTGGTGTCTTGTCATCGTCTAATACTTATTTCAGAAATTTTATCACCATTCGTAAGGCTTTTTCTAGAAATGGAAATAGGTTGACAACTCTGACTTCTACTTTTTTCAGAGGAAAGATAAGTGATAAGAGACTTTATATTGGTTATATGCAGAAAGATCTTTTTTATTGCTACATGTGGTTGATTTGATATGGAAAATGAATAAACCATTAACAACACTTGGAATGCAATGACAGATTCGGAATTTCCTTGGAAATTTAATGGTTACTGTGTGTGGATTTGTAGGCTTTCTCAAACTGCTGAATTGCTTTGAAATTTCGTATGATTTTGATTTGATTCTAGTACAGAAATACAAACTAAAGTCAATGTTTGTCTGGTGTTCTTGCGGAATTGTAAAAGTAGTTAGATTTCATAAGCAAAGGCTTTTCAATCATAAAATAAAACAAAAGAAACAAAAATTATAAGGTACAAATTTTATTTGAGTGAGTGATTTAAATTTTATCATTACTTTTTTAATTGGTGAAATTTTATCGTTAAATTATTAATTTTTGAGCAAATTAAAATCAAGTTAAAGTATGATATAGTATTATGTTTAATAGAAAATGCAGAAATAAAATAAAATTAAAAATTTTGGAATTATGTGGCATTGCATGTAATAGACAATGCCATAACAAAAAATAATAAATAAAATAAAAATTTAAATTTTAGTTTAATGGTTGTTCTATTTTTGCTATATTATTATAAAATTTATTTCTCCAACTGTAAAACAGTTTCTAACAAAATTTTTATTCAACATTCTTTAATTGCTTTTAAATTTTAAAATATGATAATAAATTTGCTCCAAAATGAATAATATGGTGTGAAAATTAAGTCAAATGAAATATTGCTGGTGAATAACCACTCACATAAAATGATAAATTTATAACATCTCAAATAAAAATATAAAGAAAGAAGTTTGAAAACTCATGCCACGAGAACAATGTGGACTAGGAAAAGTTATTCAAAGATAATTTCCTCATTGGCATAAGGGTATCACTAGCCTTATATACACTCATTATGTGAGTGAAATATGTAAAAAGTTTGATAATTAAAGTAAATATTAGTAAAATAATACAAAATATTTTACATAGTTATTTTGAAATGTAAAAAAAAAAAAAAAACTCAAAGTACTGATTTTTAAAACCAAAAAAAGTAAGCAAAGTTGGTTTTTTTTTTTTACTTTTTTTAAAAATTAAATTACTAATATAATCCTAATAATATATAACAATTAAAAATTTATATAATCTATAGATTTTTATTTTTTATTTACAAAAGAGGTGATAATATGAAAATAAAACAAAATTATAAATATTAAAATTTAAAATTTAAAATTATTAAATATCACATTTAAAAAATAATTAAATAAATCAATTAAATTAAATTTTGTATTCAAAGATAAATTTAAACCTTGTCATTGCCGACTCCACAAGGTGCAGCTGCTCCTTTTTAAAGCATATTATCTATCATTAATCAACTTTTCTTACGCGAAGCTGGATCGAATCTATCGCTAGATCCCAATTCTGCGGCAGTACGTGGAAACCTGATTGAAAATGGCCTTTTGCCCGCTAAACACTCTCGAAAGACATTGTGAAAAGGCCGTCACACTTTGTGAGGTTTGTTTGTTTGTTTGTTTTAACATGTCCCAATTTCATGACAATTTTGGGTCCCTTTCCTGCATTGCCAAAATGGTCGGTCTTTTTTGTCATTGTTAATACGTCTTTTTACCTGACTGAATGGACCTTTCATGAGATGAAACTATGTTTAATTCGTCTCGTCATTTGGGATTAATACAAAAATTATCTTCGAAGCATGAAAATATAAGACAGAGTAGCTGTTGGAGCAAAGGTTAATAGTCGAGCAATTGAATAAGGTGGAAGATTCTGTTTGCTCCAGTGGCATTCCCATGGTCCACTACTCACTACGGATCGGTCCCCTTCTAAGATGACATTCGTAAAACTCATTATCAAATATCAATAGCTGACTCAGCTTGGTCCCCCCTGTTTCCCAAGTTTTTCTAAACTCATAATGAAATTATTTGAACTTTTTTCTCAGATAACTCTTCGTAACTAATTGTAATTGGGACTATTTTTTTAACTATGACAGATTTTCATTATTTTTATCGAAAAGTGATTATTACATTTTTAATTAAACTTAAAATTAATATTTGTTTAAATTTCTTTTTACTTGTCAATGATGTTTTGGTTTAATGACAAAGGGACAGTATTTCTAGGTTTAATCCAATTTTATATAAAAGTTATCTAATTTTATATTAGTTCTATAGTTTATTTGATTTTAATTCAATGAATTTTTATATAAATATAATATTTGATTATAATTATATTATAATTTTATAAAAAAATTAAATTTCTATTAAATTAAATTTTATTTATTTTCATATTTACTTTAAAATCATTAAAAATTTAATCATAAATTAATTTCAATGCGAATTAATCACCTTTGAATGAATAGTAAAAATTTCACTAATTTGAAGTAGTATTCAAGAACATTTCAAATTTGAAAAGGCAGCTTTGGATTGAAATTGAAATGCTAAGAATGATTGTTCAAGGGTCAAAAACATGTAAGACCGGCAGGTTAGGATACCAACCAAATTCGAAACCAAAAACATTTTGAAAAAAAATCATGATTCATGAATTAGGATGACCTTTTATTTTTTATTTTTTTGTTAAAATATAAAAAAACAGTGGGCCACATGGGAGGCAAATACGCAAACCATGTCATGTGTTCAAGCAAGAAAGCTGCAAGCAGCACCATGTGGGTATATGCTTATCGGCATTGCCCGCTCCAGTTGCTAATCCTCCTAATGACGATACATAAGCAATTTCAAACCAAACAGCTTATTTTATTTCCAACGTAAATTCACAGGTTAAGATTCTAACGTAAATTCACAGGTCCACATGGGGAATTCCTTAAAATCCAAACGAACAAACCAAGAACAAATACTTGGACTGTCATTTAAAAAAAAAAAAATCATGCCCGGGTTTCTTTATTATTGTCGCTTGGTGTTTCCTTTGGT